CGGCCCTGCTGCCCACATCACTGGGTGGATACAGTACTGGATAAGGCTCATCATTGTAGTGCTCTTGCTGATGCAAGGCTGCTGTGCTGGGCCACCACACTGTGCCCCACAGAACACAACTCCAGAGATCAGCCTGGTCAAGCCCAATCCTCCTCCCATTCGTGGCAATGGCGAAGCTCACAGAGCAGTGTCCTGGGCACCAAAGCAGCTGTGGGATTGCCTAGTTGGGCGTGTCTCTGACTGCTATTCTCTTGCAGGCATCTGGCTGCAGGTTCTGGAGGCCATTGGTATTTTGGCCGTCATTGGCAATGGCCTGGTGATCGCCATCACCTCAGACTTCATCCCCAAGCAGGTCTACAAATACACGTACAGCCCGTGCATGCTGCAGAACCGCACCGATATCAAGTAAGTGTCACCCCACAATTGCCACAGCCTTTCCTGAACTGCAGCCACCTCGCTCGCTTTCTGTGTCTAAGTGAGCCTGTCCCTGCAGCGTGGGGAAAGCCATCTCTCCCGGCCCCACTGGGTAGCAAACAGGGCCGGTGCTACCATTTAGGCCAACTAGGCGGTTGCCTAGGGCGCCAAGATTTGGGGGCACCAAAAAGCGGCACCCCCAATTTTTATTTTATTTATTTATTTATGTATTTATTACAGCGGCCACAGTGCTGGGAGGGAGAGGGAGTCTGAGCCGCCGGCAGGCAGCCCAGGGGAACCCCCGGGGTCAGCACGCCGCCGGCAGCCCAGGGGTTCCCCTGGGTCAGAGCTGCTGCACGGATCCCCGGGCCAGGGGGCGGGGAGCTGCCGCGGGGGGGGGGTGCCTCAGGGTGGGGGGGGGGGCGGGGAGCTGCCGCAGGGCTGGAGGTGGGGGGCGCAAGCTGGAAGTTTCGCCTAGGGCGCGAAACTTCCTTGCACCGGCCCTGGTGGCAAAGTCCAGCCAGGAACGCAGGAGCTTTACTGCCGCCCTTTGTTCCCTCTCACTCCTTGTGGCTCTTGGGATGGTGGGACGAGTTCCGGGAGCTGGCGCTGCTCCCAATGTTGAGGGTTCCCCGTAGGATGTGAGGCCGCATCGTGTTCTTTCCAGCAGTCCTTGCCCTAAGATGCAAAGTAGGCTATTGGGAAGCCCGCAGAGGGAAAAAGAACAGCCAGTTTTGGCAGCAGGTGAGGTAGTGACCTCTAGAGGGATGAGCAAGAACTGCAGCCAAAGTTATTTTCCACTCCCATTTGCACAGGGCAGAGCAGGTCTGTTGACAAGTCGGTATCTGCTTTGTACACAAATAATGCAAACACCTGCTAATTGTGCTCAGGTGACTACCAAAAAGATACCCATTCACTGGCTGCTGGCCGTTCTGGCTATTCAAACTAATTAATGCCTGCTTTTGAAATAGACACTAAAGTAATCCACACAGAAATCCATAGGGAAGCTCTTACATTTTGTGTAAAAACAGCTGTTAACTGTGGCTGTTAGCACTGCAAGAGTGCACTTGGTTGGTTTTTTCACTCTGGGCAACCCGGTTCCTACCATGTGGAGTCAATAATTGATTGTTTTAATTGTGTGCTGTTTGGTCAAGTAGTAAAAGAGTAGATTAGTCCCAGCCTGGAACTGTCTCTCAGCCCCTCTCTAAGAAGCACTCTCTCTCTCTCTCTCTCCTCCCCCCACTACAGAAGGGATGTGGACAAATTGGAGGGCAACGAAAAATATTAGGGGGCTGGGGCACATGACTTACGAGGAGAGGCTGAGGGAATTGGGCTTATTTAGTCTGTAGAAGAGAAGAGTGAGGGGGGATTTGATAGCAGCCTTCAACTACCTGAAGGGGGGTTCCAAAGAGGATGGAGCTTGGCTGTTGTCTGTGATGGCAGATGACAGAACAAAGAGCAATGGTCTCAAATTGCAGTGGGGGAGGCCTAGGTTGGATATTAGGAAACACTATTTCACTAGGATGGTGGTGAAGCACTGGAATAGGTTACGTAGGGAGATGGTGGAATCTCCATCCTTAGAGGTTTTTAAGGCCCGGCTTGGCAAAGCCCTGGCTGGGATGATTTAGTTGGTGTTGGTCCTGCTTTGAGCAGGGGGTTGGACTAGATGACCTCCTGAGGTCTCTTCCAACCCCGATACTCTGATTCTAAATCCAACCCCCTTAAATTGCACTGCTCCAAAAATCCATCCCCTCTCCCTTTTCACCAACAATCTCTCCTCCCTGTGCATTCCATGCCTTGTCTTGCCTCTGAGTTGGATCCTGCACAGGGTAGTGTGTCCTCAATTCCCTTGACTTCACTGGGAACTCAGAGTGCTGGGCATCATCCAGAATCAGCCCTTTACATTGCTCTCTGGGACGGGGAATGTTTCCTGAGCTATAGGCCCATTCGTGCCGGGGCCTGAGCACGTCCTGGGAGTTAATAAGAGCCCTCGGCCCCCATGGGAGTTGCAGGTGCTCAGCACTTTGCAGAGACCGTTCTTATGCTTAGTAAACACTGCGTAATTTCATGATTTTTAATAAGCATCTCTGAGGCCTTGTTCCTGCACCATCAAAGTCAATGGGGCTTTTGCAATTAATTTCAATTAGAGCAGGATCAAGACTTAGATTCCCACCCTGAAAAGAACTGCCTGGAAGCGAGCTAAAGATACCCGGTGAGGATTAGAAGAGATGGGTATCCTTGCCTGGAAGACCCCATTGGGGCACTATTAAGCCACTGTCTAGTGCCATGTTTTCTCCCTATGCAGCTGTTTGACAGGTTACATCAACAACAGCCTCTCAGTGTTCCGTGTCCAGGACTTTGAGTGGCAGATGAAGATGCCCGAAAAGCTTCCAGATTTTATGAGGAGTGAGATCACAGAATGCAGGTAATAGGGGACAATAGCATGGATCCATCATCCAGTCTCACATGTCCATAGGTGCTGAAACTAGGGGTGCTGGAGATGCTGTGGCACCCCTGGCTTGGTTTCCATCATATACAGGGTTTGCAGTTTGGGTCAATGGCTCTCAGCACCCCCACTATACAAATTGTTCCAGCCCCCCTGTACACATCCTCACAGTAATACCCTCCCACCCATCCTCAACAAACAATATTGCAAATATCCTCTACAAAAAATATCTTGAATGTTTTAAGGTAACACTGGCTTGCCTCCCTTCAGCCCCCACACTGACTGGGAGAGCAGAAGACAAGATCCGTAGCTGGTGTAAATCAGTTTGGATCCCCTGAAGTCAATGGATCTATGCTGCTTTACGCCAGCTGGGGATCTGTGAGTGGACAATGGGAAGGTCAGCTGGAGGAAGCACAATACCTGAATTGAACAAAGCTGCCCTGGGGCCAGGCAGGAGAGGGACTAAATGAACCAGTAGGCCTCTCCCACCACTAACTCCTGTGACTCACAGTTCGAGGGGTGCGGAGAGATGGACTGTGACCAGCCGAGGAGGGGATTTAATGGGAAGTGCACACAGGGCTGACGGGTGTTGTCCTGTAGGTACCGGGATTACAGGAACTCCAATGACTACAACTACTCTGTCCAGTTCTGGCATGTTTTCGCAGCCCGGCTCGCCTTCCTTATTTTATTTGAGGTGAGTGCTGTGGAGTCAGCAATGTCCGGGCTGCACGGGGAGCCTCGTGCGGCATGGGGAAGGAGACCGAGGCGGTGGGGGAAAGAGAGTCACACGTTCTTCCCTGGGGAGTGATTGTCAGTGGAGAGTGAGAGTGTGCATGGCTGGGCACTCTGAGGGTGCTGTTTCCGCACTGGCTGAGGGAGTTTCCTTCTCTTGTCCCCAGCCTGACCTCTTCAGTGAGGCAATTAGCTCCTTTATCATGGCACTGCCACTTTGCATCAGATCCCTGCGCCTTCACCTGCCTTCAGACCCTCCCCCGTGTTCTGCCCTCACCCACACCTGTCATCGCTTTCCCTCTCCCCTACCCCTGTGCCCCTGCTGACAGTCACTCACTCCTGCTGTTAGTCCCCTGCTCACTTGCCATCTGCCCTTCAGGCAATGCCATGCACAGGTGACTAGCAGGAAAAACAGCCACTGCCCTTGGCTGGGGGCAAATTAGGACAGCCTCAAAGTCAGCTCTGCTGGCAGTGGTACCATTGCAAAGCTTGCATTTCAAAGGGGAGTGTGGGGCTACATCCAGAGCCAGACATAAAGCTAAGAGAAACCAGGGACTGTGAGTCCTCATGGCTTGATCTGCCACCCTCTCTGGCCCAGGTTTCCCAGGACTGGAATGAGAGAGGGTTGATGTTTTGGGGGCCCCATAGTAGCCTGAATTTGGGGCCCTAAGGGGAGGCATTACCCCAGAAATCATCCCTGGATGCAGCAGTGTGTGTGTATTTTATGACTCCGATCAAACTCCCACTGAAGTCAATGGGAGTCTTGATTGATTTCAATGGGAGTTGGATTGGGCACTGGATGGCTTGCGTACTTGGTATATGCCAATGTGGCAGCTGAGCATGGCCATGGAGCTATTACTCCTTGCTAATTGCTGCTGGGTCACTGATCACAGCTTATCTCCCCTGAGAACTGGTTCTGACTGCGTGGTGGGCTCTGCTTGCTCATTTCAGCACGTGGCTCTGTGCATCAAGTTGATTGCAGCCTGGTATGTACCCGACATCCCCCAATCAGTTAAGAATGGGCACCTGAAGAAAAAATATGAAAATCTACAGGGAGAACTCAGGTAGGTGTTGTCCTAGGAATAGCTGTGAAGGGTTCTGGAGCACCGTCTCTCCTGGAAGGCAGTGTGATTTAGAGCAGGAGACCTGGCTTCTTGTCCTGACTGGCTGTGTGACCTTGGGGTTAGTCACTGCACCTCCTCTGCACAGATACCATTAATAGTAGCTGCCCTCCCTCAACCACTGCTCCACTCAGAGGGCTACTCTGAATAGGAGTGGGCAGAGCAGAAAGGTGGAACAGAACGGTCTCTGGCGGGGCTTGACAACCTCTTACGTTCTGCCCAGGCTGGAATCAGTATAAGGGATAAAAAATGATCTGTGTTGGCCAAGTGTCATCTCTACTCCACTGGCAAAACCTAGGCATCCTAGGGTCTTAACTACCAATTCTACCACAAGTCAACCTCCTGACATCTAATCTGCCTGTTCAGTAGAGGAAGTGTGAGATGAAGGCTGGTGGCATGTGACTTTTTAGAAGAGAGTCCTGCAAGCATTGGTTAGCCTCCCAAAGGAAGCAGTGGAAGCACTATCCCTGGTTTCACTTAAAACTAGACTGGGGAATAGAAGGAGCAATCCATCCTTGGCCCCTGGAGGCTGGATTAGCCCAGTGATTCTCCAGTTTTTTCATTCTGGAAACTGTCTCATCCAAGAGACAGTGCACCTCTGAGGGACCCGCCTGCCCTACAATCCCCCGGTGCTTGTCTAGCCACATTCCTCATTCTACAGAGCATGAGGGAGGGCTCCATAGTCCTTTATTAATCCACAGACCACATCTTGAGAACCCCTGGATTAGATTACTCAAAACTAAAGCTGGCCAGAAAATTCGTGTTTTTGGGGGGGGCGACTTCCCCCTCCAGAAAACTCCCACAGAAAATTTCTCAACTTTCCATGGAAAAATTTAGACTTTTTTTGGTAAAAAGTCAAAATTTAAATATATCTGCTGAAAACCGAAGAAATGCTGCTGTAATGCCCTATGGGAGTTGTAGTTCAGATGCTTCATGCTGCCATTCTCCTTTGTAGGTTGGACTATATTTCACATGAAGCACCACAGTCTCCCTCTATTAACAAAGGGAAGTGGTACATCATGGGAGTCCCTGATCATGTTGCATTACGGGAGATGTAGCCCAGCTAGGAAACCCTGCCCACAAAGGAGAATGGGGACATGAGGGAACTGAACTACAAGTTCTAGGAGACAGTGTGATGGTATAGCCAAATCAAAATATGTTGCCTTTCTGCCATTTGGGATTTTTTCCAATATAATCTAAATTTGCTAAGACTAGCAGACTCTTTTCACAAAAAGTCTTTTAATTGAAACCCTGCTTGCCATAGTAAAATAGCTTTGCTAGAACTTTTTCGACCAGCCCTTCTAACTAGTTCTTACTCATCTCAAGTTTGATTGTTCTGTTCAATAACTCTGATGGTGTCACTGGAACTACCTGGATTGTTTCTGTATCTTCCAAAAAAAGGGATCGCTCTACAAGCGTATAGCGAGTCACTGAGCACGCAGCAGAGGTCAGAAGCAGAGACTGCAGATCCAGTATCCAGCAGGACAGTGCTGTGGGCTTTGGAGGCACTATACAGGCACCTCCCACAAACCCTACAACTGCAACTCATTCTTTCCTATTGTTTTGGACTTTGCCTCTTAACTGAGGGGGAAACAACGCAATGGTAAACTTGCACGAGCAGATCATTTAGAATCTCACTGTGGCAGGGAAGAAGACTGTATCTTTAAAAAATGCTGCATTTCAAAGGTGTCTCCTCAGAGCTGGGGGAAAAGATTTGCACTGTTGGCCAAACATAACAGTTTGTCTGATTTCAAAGAAGACTAAAAAGGGCTAGATTTTTGCTAAATTTGTCATGCTTTTCCACCATCAGGGGCAGACACGATTTTACTCCTGCACCCTCCTCCCAAATTGCTAAGAGGAAATACCATATAAGGCCTATGTCTATGGAGATGGGTGAGGTTACCCTGTCTGCTGTACCAACATTGTCCCCAGTTTGGAGGGACAGTCTCTGTCCCAGCTGACTCTCCTTCCTACCATACATCTAAGACCTATTTCTTGACTAGATGGGAGACTGGATTCCTGACCGCTGATCACTGGTTCTTACTGTAATGATGTGTGACCTTGTGCAAATTAACCTCTTGGTGCCTCCATTTATGTAATGGGGCAAACACCTACCTACCTCACCTGGATGCTGTGCAGCTTAAATAATTAATATCTAAAGCACTTTGAGGCCTTGTCTACATTGAGAATTTGCCCTCATTCCATTACTCAGTGACCAGCCACTGCAAACTCCAAATACACACACGGAAATCTGTGTTTGGCATGAGTGGAGCTTACCTCAGTTTCAAACAGCAGTTAGTTCCACTGAAGCAGGTTGGGGCTCTTCTCAGCTATATGTGGGATTTGCTCTGGTGCAGCGAGCGACACCACTTGCTGGCCAATGTAAACCAGCCCTTGGATCCTTTCGGAGATCCTGTGTTAGCATTTCTTTGAGTCAGGCAATCTGATGCTAATCTACGGCAGACGACCTGGCTTTATCTTCAGTAGTTCATTTTAATCCTTCACTTGTCATTAAACTGGGCTTTGCTGGCTGGGCTGCGGAGTAGATTGCTTACTTTCTCTATCCCCTTTGTATTTCATACGTCTCACCAGTCCTTCTCCTTCCAGTGGAGTCTCTCAATGCTCCTGTACACCTCCATCACCCAGGAAGCAGCTATTCTCTCTTTTTTACTAAAGTGATCACAGTAGTTCCTCCTATAGGTAAGGGTGCAGAGCAGGGCCTTACCCTAAATCTCCTACATCCCAAGCGAGTACCCTAATCACTGGATGGTAATGGGATAGGGTGGCTCCCTCTCTTAAACCCTGCACTTGTTGGCACTTCACTCCTGGCTAGTTTAGGTCACTCCCTGCTAAGCTGGCTGGCTTCAGAAGATCCCTTCCATAGGCACCTAACTCTCCCCATGCCCTTGTATGGGGAGCCTGAGCACCTAGGTCAGGCTGATTCCATGAGGTGGCAGGCTGCCTGAGCGCTAGGCATTACAATGCTTAGGTACCTTTGTGGATCAGGCCCTTGTCGGCCTTCAATGAGGACTGACAGCTAGGTTTGAAAAATGTTAGTGTCAGATTCACAGAGCTAAAGCCCAGTTGGAACATGCCCAATAGAAAACACTCTTAAATCTGCAAATGTACAGGTAGACCCCAGAACTGCAGAGAATCCTGTGTGGAAAGATCCCTTCACACTAAGTGCCAGGGAAGGCTGGGGTCCACCGACTTGGAGCCTATTGTAGGATCAGGGCCTTTTAATGTTGGCCTTTTAATGGGGCCAAGCTAAATCTAAGTGAGACAGACTTAAACTCGTGCAACAAAGTTTCAGTGGTTTAGCTAAATTGGTTTAATTCACATGTAGGGCTTGTCCACATGCGTGGGTTTAAAATCACACTAACTTTAGCTAGTGAGCACTCAGATGACCTTCCCAGTCCACACATGCTGCAATTCTTCCAAGTGGATTAACTGGCCCAGAAATACTTATTCTACAATCCACTTTGAAAGTTCTTTGCATAGTGAGGTAGTGCAGACTAACATTGACATTCATGCACGGCTCATTTCATACTAGGTTGGCAGTACGCCAGCTTCTATCCCACTGTATTTTGCCAGGACCAGCCTGTCTGTTTACCTGGGTGCCCTCCACTGCTCTGGGGTCATGTTGCCCAGATGTCCCCTCCCTGTTCAAATGCTGGCAGGAGGCCAGGAACAGTCCATTTTTTTTCCTGGAGTACAGCCCTCAAGCCTTCCAGCAGTGCTATTACTGTCATCTAATGCCTTGTGCAGCAGCATGGAAACATGCAGAGATCTTTGATCGCCTTGTCATCTGGGGAGATGCAAGGGTACAGGCAGCACTTTCCCCCCAAAAAATCAGAATAACGCAGTCTATGAAGACATCTCTAAATAGATAGCCCCAAAGGGTCACAGTGGGACCCTATTCAATGCCACAGCACAAGCAAAGCACTTAAAAGCCACTACAAGAAAATGAGGGACAAAAGATGGATCTCTAGCAATACTCCTATGACTTGTCTTTACTATGAGACTTTTCTGCTGGGATGCCACTATTGGTGTAAATTCTGTATTTAGACAAGTCCTCAATGTGTAGTTTAAGGATTAAATTGAACCTTTTCTAGTTTTCTTAAATAATCAAGGCAATTAAATGAAAACTCCTATCACCTCTACCCATTAAGGCTGAGCAACAAAGCACTCAGAGACAGGACATTCCAGACATTGATTCTTGCTGTCATCGTTCCTGTTTTCCTTGTTCAATGTCAGCTCTAAAAAAGTATGTATTTAATCTATGCCAGAAAGTATACGGCTTGAGCATAATGACTGAATGAATCTTGCAGTCAAAAAAATCTTAGCTTTTCTAACACCCTGATTCGTGAATTTTTGATTTGTCAGCCTTGTGCTAATGCTAAGTTTTTCATTTGTTATTTACATCTAAGTGACTAGATTATGAAACACGGCAGGGGAATCAAGCCCTGATACACACGTGCCTGCATGCTAGGCTGAAACTTTAAGCATGTGAAATCCGCTGAAGTCCAATGTGGCTACTCAAGGGCCCCCCGTTGGACTTCAGTGGACTAGTCACATGCTTAAAGTTACACATGTGCCTGTGTGCCATGTTGAATCAGGTCATTAATGCAGCAGGCGCCAGACTGATGTGGCATTTAAAATATTTTCCTGACCTCCCTTATTCTGGATGCCAGGTATGTTGTACATATTTTAAAATGCTCAGTAATGGTTGCTTGAAATACTGTGCAATAATATTGTAATTTTTTAATAAAGATGATTTTTTACAATAAACTGTTTTTTTTTTAAAGATGTTGCTTCGGTTTATTAAGCAAAGAGTTGGGCTGGGTTTGGATGGTAAAGAATTGAAATGTGAAGGCCATTTTAAATATTGGCTTGGGGGCAGGACCGTGAACTTGTTAGAGTTGTTAGTCGTTAAGGTATTGGCATGGGACACAGGCCATCTGGGTCAGTTTCCAGCTTTGACACAAACTTCCTGTATGACTGGGGTGAGTCACTTCAGCAGAGATTTTAAAAGCTGCCACAGGCATTTGGATTTGGGATGTCCAAATCTCTTAGCCAACTTTGGAAAGCTCAGCCTTAATCCTGGTGTCAGTTTACCCATCTGTAAAATGGGGATAATACCTCCCATACTACTTAGGGGAGTTATGAAAATATGTGTGTTAATGTCTGGGAAGGGCTCAGATAATACAGTAGGGGGTGGAAAATACATACGTAGAATATGAGGGTTAGAAGGGACCTCAGGAGGTCATCTAGTCCAACCCCCCTGCTCAAAGGGGGACCAATCCCCAGACAGATTTTTGCCCCAGATCCCTAAATGGCCCCCTCAAGGATTGAACTCACAACTGTGGGTTTAACAGGCCAATGCTCAACACACTGAGCTATCCCTCCCCCCCCATACGTTATGCTAGGCATCTACAAACTTTAGGGTAACATTTTCAAAATCACTTGTGACTTAAGCCTGACTTACACAGGTTTTGTACCAGTAATTATTTCAATGTTTAAAACAAAAAACAAACAAAACCAGAAAAAGTTATAACAGTACAATCCAGTGCTAAAAGGTGCTTATATCGGTATAGAGGGAAAAAGTTATCTCTTCATGAAGCACTTTTATCTCACTATAACTGTGTCCACATTAGGGCTGTTACAACTGCTTTTTTATGTACACTTGCACACTATATCCTACTCTAGTGATATTCTTGGATTTGAAAGGGAACCCTGACACATTTTGCCCAGAGCCTTGAAATGCTCTTTCTGGCATTTGGTGAAAGCTATTGTAAGTAGTTTTATTGAATTGGCTTAATAGCATAAAATGCATTATGTTGGCTATTAATACTAAACTCACATTTATATAGCAACTTTCATCCCAAAGCACCTTCACACAGGCAACCCTTCATGCATCACTGAAATGCAGCCACCTCTGAATTGCAACACTGTAAGCTGCACACAGTAATGTGACAAGCTTAGCACAGAAAGTAAGGAAGAATACAGTAGCAAATTGAGACTGCAGAGAGAATTTGAGCAGGAGGATGCAATTAGT